GGTAACTGTTGAGTATAGTCAGTTGCCAGAAAAGTAGCGAATTGTGGTTGTAGTTTACAAAAAACCACCACTCAAAAATGACAGTAATGGATTTTTTTGGCTGTGCCTTACTGGCTTTTGGACCTCCACTGACCATGTTCACCTTCACCATAGCAGTTGAACCTATACGTATTATTATACTAATAGCCAGTACATTTTTCTGGCTCATTTCTTTACTGCTATCATCCATGCTGTGGTACATGATCACACCGCTGCAAAAGTATCTCTGGACTGGAATACTTTATTCTGTGACTCTTCAAGAAATATTTAGGTAGGCCACAGGATTTTTTAATTTATTTATATCGATGTTTGGAAACAAGTCTCGTCATTGTGTATATTTTTACATTTCAGGTATCTCCTTTACACAGTTATGAGAAAAGCAGAAAAGGGCTTGGAAAAAGTCACAACTGCCCATGTATCAGAGAGCAGAGACGTGTTTGCATATGTATGTGGTCTAGGATTTGGTGTAATGAGTGGTGCCTTTGCTTTGGTCAATGTTCTTGCTGATGCTATTGGACCAGGAACAATGGGACTTTACCAGGGCAACGAATACTTTTTCTTGATATCGGCTGCTACAACCTTGTGCTTTATCCTACTTCACACCTTCTGGGGAATAATTTTCTTTTCTGCTTGTGACGAGAAAAACTGGTTCCAAGTTACTTGGGTTGTTACTTCGCACATGTTTGTCTCGTTCATGACAATTCTCAACAGTTATCAACTCTATGCTGCAAGTCTGTTTACCGTTTATACTGTACTTTTGGTCAACACTGTTTTTGCTTTCAATGTAGCAGGTGGTAGAGTACAGACTTTGCTTCAGTGTCTTATTAAGAAATGAGGGCAAGAATTTTCTTATTAGTAATTGTGTGCTGCAGTTCTTACTTTATCTAAATTATGATTTTTCAATATTACATTTTATTCATTATAAAACACAATCATTATTTAAGCTATAATTAAAACGGAATGAAGTATTACAGTTTTATTGAATATTTTTAGAGTGTTATGTTCAGTCTCATGTCTAAAGAAGTTAAATTGAAAATTGAACTGATTATACCATTTTTAAGTATCTATTTTTCAAGTAATATCTCTACTTTTGAGGAGTCCACAAGTTCCCTTACAAAAGACTGGAAACAATTCACAGCTTGGATGGATCGAGCCATTGCTGTAAATTGCTTAGTGTTAATAAAAAATTTTTATCGTGTTTTTCTATGGAAACAAGGCAAAAATTTTTTTACG